GGAGGCAGGAACTGATACAGAGGCTGTGGAGGGATGCTGCTTACTGGCCTGCTCCTCTGGACTTGCTCAGTCTGCTCCCCATAGGACCCAGGACCAACTGTCCAAAACACTACCTGCAATGGGCTGGGCCTTCCTGCATTAGTTATAGTCAAAGAAGTGCGCCACAGACTTGCCCACAGGCCAATCTGGTAGGGACATTTTCTCCATTGACTCTAACTGTGTCAAGTTGACACAAAAGTAGCCAGCACAAGCTTTGTGCCTCTGTTAGGTGTAAACTCTGCATTTATTAATATATAGGCTTTCCTTCTGGAAGAGAGACCCCATCCCAAGTGGTGGCTGATATGGGATAGAAGTCAACTTCTCGTTCATGTAAAATCCCATCACAGCGGTGATAGGCCACCACATTGTTGGGGCATTGGCTCTGACATCTCCAGGGTCCTGTCTTCACTGGAATGGTATATATGGGCTTCACTTCTTCGTATTTGTGGCAGAGGGAAGGAACAGAGCACATTGCTTATGATGAGTGCCAGCAAGAAGCCACACACGCTATTTCTGCTCCCCTCTCATGGGGGCAGAACGCAGCACTGCAGCTTGTTCCCTGGCACCTGGAAAACACAGTCAGTGCTCTTGACTAGAGAAGTTTCCATAGACGAGGAGGGAGTAGACAGGCCTTGGTCAGCAGTATCTGTCTTGGGGTTGATCTTTAAATGAAATGGAGGGAATGCAGGGAGCCAGAATGCATGCCATTAGAATCTGTTCCTTGTGTGCCCTGACACTTCTGTTCCCTTCCATTGCTGTGATGAGACTGTCCATTTGTGTGTCTGTCATCAGTCTCTCTGAACTCCTCATAATGCAAAGGAACCTGTGAATAAGTCCAGTCTGAACTTCAGGCTCAAAATCATTGGGACTCAGGAAAATGTAGAGTGGAACTAAGGTGAAATAGGTATTCTTGATCCATGCATCCATGCATCCATCCATGCATCCATGCATCCATGCATCCATCCATCCATCCATCCATCCACTTACCCATCACCTATTGTATACTTGGAGAATTAACGTGCTTTTATTTGTAGAGCTAATGGCTAAAGGAGTCTATTGCATTGTAGCAGTATTTTTGTTAGAAAGACAGACACTGTGTGATATAGCTGAAGCCTTCTCCTCCTCAACACAGCATCCCTTCTAAAACTGCCACAGATACTGCATACTGACCCACCCTCCAACTGAAGAGCTCTTTTTCTCTGCCCCAGGCTTGTCAAATGGAGTCAGGAAGATCTTAGCATGTGAGCTTTTTACATTTCAAGATTTTTAGATCATATTTTTTAGGTCAGGGTTACCAAGAGGAAAGAGACTAAACCCCTCACTATTGTAATATTTCTTCTTGCTCTTGTTGGATCTCAGCCCTTTGCAGACTTTACACAGCAGTCATTCCAAGCTTTGTTTCCATTCTCTCTCTCTCTCTCTCTCTCTCTCTCTCTCTCTCTCTCTCTCTCTCTCTCTCTCTCTCTCTCTCTCTCTCTCTCTCTCTCTCTCTCTCTCTCTCTCTCTCTCTCTCTCTCTCCCCCTCCTTCCCTCCCTTCCTCTCTCTCTGGATCTGACTCCCTAGCTGTTGAACATGCTCAGTTTAGCGCAATGCACACTCCCCTGTCTGTTTTTGACCACTCTACCTCCATTCCTCTTTTGAAGGAAAGTATGGTGTGTGTGTGTGTGTGTGTGTGTGTGTGTGTGTGTGTGTGTTCTCAGTAGGGCAATGGAACTCACAGAGAGGCATTCTTATAGAGTCTGGAATCTCCTGGGAGATGGGCCTCCGTGAATGCCTGTGAGAGATTATCGTGATTAAGTTAATTGATGTGAGAAGATCAATCTTAATTATAGACGGGACAATTCCCTGCCTGGACTGAATGAAATGGAGAAAGTGAGTCGAGCATTAGTATCCATTTATTGTGCTCTATTTCCAGGTTATGAATACAATGTGACCGGCTGCCATGACTCCCGGCCATAGTGGACTGTGTCCTAGAACTTGAGACAGAGTAACCCATTTCTCTCTCAAGCTGCTTTTATCAGAGTATTTCATCACAGCAACAGGAAAAGAAACTAAGATAGGAGCTGAGTGTTTCCTTTTAAGGCAGTAGCAGGGTGCCACATCAGGGAGCAGTTGCGCCATCTGGCTCCTGTCTTGCAGAGACAAGCTGGCTCATCGATGTCAGCTTCCAATGGGGTGTCCTGCAGTCTCCCTATACACTGCCCTTAGCTTAGCTTAATTAGAATTAATGTCTGACAAGGCAATATACAGCATATTAATAATCAAGCAAATGCTGGCTGGTGGTGGCACATGCCTTTAATTCCAGCACTCGGGAGGCAGAGGCAGGCGAGTCTCTGTGAGTTTGAGGCCAGCCTGGTCTACAGAGCAAATTCCAAGACAGCTAGGGCTACACAGAGAAACCCTGTCTTCGAAAACAAACACACAAACAAAAATAAACAAAATATCAAATAAAGGGAATGAAACCAACTAAAATAAAAAGCAGCGTTCTTGACCCCCATCTTTGTTTCCAGTGGTATCTATCTTCTGACCTTTATGGTCACACTTTGGTTGGCTAGGTATATACCATGTTGGTGTCTCTTCTCCTAATACTCCTCTACCCACTCCAGGGTGTCTGCCTCCAGCAGTCTCTGGAAAATGTGCTCTAGCGGCCCGAGTCACCCCAGTGTACCTACCTTCTTCTCTCCTGTCTAATTCCCTGTCCTTACCTCTTGGTCTCTCATCACTGGGGCCCTAAGCCCTTCTCTCCCTCGTCTTTTCCTCTGCAGATCTTACCCCTGAGCTTTTACACGTCACCTCTGTGTCTATGATGCTCAGGCCTCCTAAGAAACTCCTGCTTCTCCTCAACGTGCCCACTGTGAGCTTCTGAGGACATTTCATGACTGCTCCCCTCAGCAAATGGCACTTGACCCATGTGGTTATCAAACCAGATACTCCTCTCCTTACCACAATGCTCTATAAAGTCCCATTCCCCCCCAGCCCTAGCCTGCATCCCCGGGGTCCAGCACAGGAGGGACTTGGTAAATACGTGATCCATTGAGTGACAGCAGCAAGAACACTGCACAGAGCCTTTCACAACTCCAGCCTCCCCACAGCCCGCCCATGAGATAGGGAGGTAACTACCATTGCTTATCAGATGAAGAAACCAATTCCCAGAGAGATGAACAGTCTTGCCTGGGTGTGGGATTGCAAGGTCAATGAATGTGTTTGAAGTTGGGAAGTTGGCTCTCCCTGGGTCACTGCTATAGTCAGGGCAGCCTCCTTGCCAAGTCATGGGACCAGTGAGCCAAGGGGCCAAGATCAAGGTGATGCTGAGAGGTCCCAGTGGCCAGGCCAGGCCTGTGTGTATCCAGTATGGCAGACGTCTATTGACATCCAAACCTGAGTATGGCAAGGGCTTGGGGGCTGGGTCTGACTCTCGGTGTAGCCACGAGTAACCTCACCACTTCTTGGGACTCAAGTGACTTCTCTGGAAAGGGAATATGAGTGCGAGAGGAGTGGTGACTTCTGGGAAGGGCAGGCGTTGGCTGGTGTCCCTGGCACAGAAATTGTTACATAGGGCAGGATCCCTCAGGCAGGCTGCTGGTGGTGGGGAAGCAAGAACCTGAGGACTCCTGCCTGTTCTGGTGGCGCTCATCTCTTCCAGGACGCCATCTTCCCAACTGGAGAGAATGCACAGAGGCCCTGTTAGACGGGGCTCCGGAAACCCGGGTCTTTCTGAGAAGACAGAGATCCCCGATTGGGGGAGGCACAGAGATAATTTTGGCTCCCCATAACTGGCTGCATAGACAACCCCAGTCAAGTTGGGGTTCCCGGGGCTGCTGTCAACAAAGGAGGGTGGCCCTGGGACTCAGAGGACTCCCAGGCTCCTCTTGCCACGAGGCCCTGGGTACCGGGGTGCCAGGATTCCTTGAAGGTGGTCTGGGTCTGTCCGGATCTGGGTGGGGTAGCTTCCTGTTCTGTGTGTCTGGGGACATACAAGGAATGTTGCGGGGCACCTAGCTCTCTCCAGAGACCAGGCATTCCCCGAGTTTGTAGAGTGTTTAGGAAGGGACAAGGAAGGACCAAGGAAGGGAATATCAGGGCTTCGGGAAATTATAGGACGAGAATTCAGGCTCTGGTAAGGTCTGGTGTTTACCCCCCCCCCCCAGTCACTGTGTATATCAGCTCTTGGCATCCCTGAGGCAGGCTGGGAGACTGAAGGCCTCGGTTGGATTGGGTCAGACGGCAAGGGTGCAAAGGGTCCTGGCAGTGGATGGGGTGACAGGAAATTAAGAACACTGACCTTGAAGGCTGAGGATACGACTTTAGGAAACGAGACTATAAGTTGGGGTCCTGGGGCCTGGTCAGGTGCTCTGAGGACTAGACTGGGATCATAAATCTGAAAGGTGTGGGGTCAAGCTAGGGTTTCTCCCTGAGGTGAGTGTGTTGCTGAGAAGAAAGTACAGTTGTCTCCAGGACTGATGAATCCCTAACCAGCAGTGTAGAGCCCCAAGGCCTCGAGAGAGCAGTACCTGGGGGAAAAGGTCTCTAGAGAGGGATCTGACGCCCAGAGACTTAGGAAAGGCAGGGCAGGATGGAAAAGGACACGGGGACAGGTCCTTGAGGAAAGGGGACTGAGGGGGCGAACCTGGGGCCCGGAGGATCGCGAGGAGCTACCATGCTGGGTGAACACGGCGAGGCTGGGACAGGGTAATGGCGCCCTTTGTGGGTGGGAGGACAGAAACACACCGGCCGGCCGGCTGTGCCGAGAGGGCTGCAAAGATGGTCCCACAGTGGGGAAGCAGCCCCGAGGAGGGGTCCAGAAGGGGGCTGGGCGCCCTTGGGGGCGGGGCCTAGAGGAGTGGGCGTGGGGCGGGGCCGAGGCAGGGGGCGGGGCCAGGACGCTGTGGCAGTGGAGAGGCGGGGCGCACCCAGGTGAGAGAGCCCCCCCCACCCAGCGCCCCTGCCTCGGGAACGGGTGCCAGCCTCCCTGGCTGTCCCTTGGCCGTGCGGGCAGTGCACCTCGGCGGGTCAGACCCGGTGCGGCTCCGGCTCCATCTTGGCGCAGGGCACCTGTGGCGGCAGCAGGAGCAGCGCGTCCGTCGGCCTGCGCGGCCCGGCGGCCACTGGGTGAGAGGCCGGCGGTGGTGGGTGCTAGGGTGGGGTGGGCGGTGCCGCCCCTTTCCGCAACCACGAGCCCACTCCTCACCGCTGCCCGCGCCGCATTGCATTCCTCCGCACTGTCGCCTCTTCGGTCCTCTTCTCCGTGTCCCTCTGCCCAGCCTCCGGTTTTCTGTTTTGTTTTGTTTTTTGTTTTTCTCTGCCCGAGACCTGGGTCTATCGGCCTCCATCCCGCCTCCCTTTGCTTCTTGCCTCCCGGTTTCCTCCTCTCTTCCATCCGCACCCTCCCCCGTCCTCTGTTGCCAATACCCCGCCCTCTTCTGCCAGGGAACATCCCTACTGCCTTACTGCCCCGTGTCCTTTGAGCCACTGCCTTTGTCCTGGAAAGATCTGTAGCCTAGTTCCGAGGCTTGTGTTGGGCCCTTCTCCCCAAGACCCCTGTGCCCTTTGCTCTGGAGGTGCGGGGAAGGGAGCCCTGGCCAGGGAGGCTGCGTGGTGTGCGGCACGTTCAGGCCTTTGCCCGCAGCAGGGCGGCCTGTGCTTGGCATCAGACTGCTGCTGTGTGTACAAACGCTCTTTCTTGCAGGCTCACACTGCAAATCGGCCTGTGCCTTGATCTCTGGGGTGACCACGGTGAGGTGTGCCCATGCTGGGGCACTGCTGGGGAGTGCAGGTAGGATCACAGTGGCCACCTGGGCTGTTTCCATGCTTAGAAACACCTCTGAGGGAGTGGGCGAACCCTCACGCGGCTCAGCTCGGGCTCAGGCTCTGGGACTCTGAGGGGTTTAGGTCTCTCTGTGGTGAGCAGGGTGGCATCTGGGAGATTGTTGCCCTATGGTTACACCAAGAATCCTTCCTGGCATTCTGTCCTTAGGCAGCATGTCATCTCCATGAGGCTAGAAGCTATGAGGGGCTAGTTTTAGCCCCAAACCCTTTTAGGAATGTTCTGCCCGAGTGTTTCCTTTAGGCCCTTTATTTGCTCCGGAATGGATCAAATCACTTGGTATTGGTGGCCACACCCCTCCGTACAGGGGATTTGAGGGGTTTGTAGGGAGTACCCCACCTGGTCCCTAAATAACTTCTGTACTTTGACACTATGACCGGTCCTGGTTCTCCCGTGCTCCCTTCTTGTGGAGTTGCTTTTCCTTTTGTGGCTTTCTGGGTGGAGAGGTTGCTGTCTGATCACCTGCTGCTCAAGAAGGGAGTTCTTAAATGGATGACATGGAAGCCTTCGTGTGGGCATCCCAAAGGTCTGCGCTTCTCAGTTGGGGTGGAATCCGGCCAAACAAAGCCGCCGGTCTCAGGCTGGGCTAGTCTGGGGGTTTCTGAAAATTTGGAGGGGGGAGTGCTTATTCAACGTGGCTTTGATCGCTTGTGCATGTGAGGGTGGTTGACTCTTTAGTTGCTGGACAGTCCAGCAGTGACATCCTGACACCAGCCACAGCCATCATGACTTTCGCATTGAATGAGGTCAGAGAAAGAATATCAAGAAAAAACGTTATTCAACACTGGTGCTCTTGGATAGCTCTGCCTTTTACGTTAGGCTGAAACATCTCCCCAGGAGAGTGCCTGTGTGTGGGTATGTACATGTAAGTATGGGTGCCCGTGGAGACCAGAGGCGTCTGATCCTTTGGAGCTGGAGCTGCAGATAGTTGAGAGCCACCCAACATGAGTGTTGGAAACCAACCTCAGGTCCTCTGCAGGAGGAATATGTCATTAACCACTGAGCCGTCTCTCCAGCTACGTCTCAGGATCTCTTTTGGGTAAAACTAGAACCTGCCTATGCCTGTAACAACTTTCTAGGCATGTGGCATGTATACCTCAGCCTGTGTATCTGCATAGTCTACCTAGATGAAGGTTTAAAGCAGGCCCTGGGAAACTTACTGTGGTGACTGGGGCACTGGGGAAAGGGGTAACATCACAGGACAGGATGAAGGCAGCCAGAACTGGAAGATGGAGCTTACCGTCGGGCATCTTGCTGGTTTCCTAACAGGATATCATTGCTCCTACCTAGGGCTTTCCCAGTGTGATTTCCTACAATGCTGTGGTCTCACATCACTGATGATGGAGGAGAAAAAGATGATTACCTCATGCTGTTTAGTTCAGTCTTCACAGCAACCTTGCGGAGCAGGGCTTACTTTACAAGGGAAAGTTTACATACATGTCACAGTGTGGGCTGAGTTTACATACATGTCACAGTGTGGGCTGAGTTTACATACATGTCACAGTGTGGGCTGAGTTTACATACATGTCACAGTGTGGGCTGAGTTTACATACATGTCACAGTGTGGGCTGAGTTTACATACATGTCACAGTGTGGGCTGAGTTTACATACATGTCACAGTGTGGGCTGAGTTTACATACATGTCACAGTGTGGGCTGAGTTTACATACATGTCACAGTGTGGGCTGAGTTTACATACATGTCACAGTGTGGGCTGAGTTTACATACATGTCACAGTGTGGGCTGAGTTTACATACATGTCACAGTGTGGGCTGAGTTGGGACCTTGATCATCCTACTGGGCATGTCCTAAGGCCTAGATTTCTGGGCTGGAGCGAGTATTGGAGCCTCTGGCCAAGTGGATCTCTTTGGATAAGCTGGCCTGGATATTTCTGCAAAGCTTGGGTTTTTAATCCAAAATGCCATTGGCTGCTTGCTGCGCGTGGCTGACACACCGGTGAGGCCTTAAGTCGGCCATTTGCAGCTGTGGGTTCTTTGACATTTTTTAATTGCTCTGAGGTTGAGTGTTATCATCTGCCACTTGGCAAGTGTTAGAATAGAAGAGGTAACTGATACGTAGCTTTTCACTGGGGTCTCTGTGGTCACCGGTCTCTCTGAGGGAGGGGCTGTGTCAGGGGAGGCAGGTGCAACAATCTCGTTGCTCATGTCTCCTCAATAGGTCTTGGTGGGGGCTGGGATTCCCTCAGTCTTATCCCGCCTATTTCCTCCAGGGGTCAAGGGGCTGGCCTGCTCTTCACCGTTCTACTCTCTAGGAGGATCAGAAGTAGTGGATCTTACCTAGGGTTATGTAGACTCTTCTGATGGGGTTCCCATGGGGCTTTTAGACCCCGGTTGGGTGGTTCTCTTACTACCCACAGGTACCACTTGGTGTGCACAGGAGGACTTTCAGTCTGCGGGTGTCTTTCTGCCCTCCTTATCCTTGCAGCCTAAGAATCGGGCGAAGTGGGGGGTGGTGGTGGCCGAGCTGTGCTCCCCTGGCATGTTAGGGACACCGTCGGCAGTACAGCGGCAGGGGTAGGCACTGGCACTCCAGCTGTGTGCAGTGGTCAGCTCAGAGAGCTGCACACTGCTTGGAGGACCTCGTATACTCATGGGCTTGCCTCCTCACTGAGCCATTGGCTAGCTCTGTGCCCTTGGTCAGGTCACGGAGCTTCTGAGCTGTGACCTCATTTGTAGAATGGGGATGATGAATTGCGTCACGAGGTGGCTGTGACAGCGGAACGAGACAGTGTTTGCGAAAGCTGTGGCCCGGGCCTGCAACGTTCAAAGCTGTGATTGCCGTCGTTGGAGCTGCCGTTGACGTTAGTGCTTTCCCCCGTTTACTGGGTGTTAGCCTTCCTGAGCGCAGTCCTGGGCTAGAGCCCTTTCTTTGCCACCCGTCCAGTCTGGCTGTGGACACGAGGAACAGCTGGTGTGGGACACTCCTTACCAAACTGGCTGTGTTCAGTATGGCTTTGCCCAATACAGTGACTGCTAGCCACCTGTAGCCGGTTATTTAAATTGCTTATCAAAAATTCAGTGTCTTGGTCACTGTTTGCCTGACAGGTAGTTACCATATGTGGTTAGTGCCCTAATGATGATAGCCAATGCTATAGGGGATAAACCTACAGTGCCCACTACCCTGGACAGGGCGAGGTCTACCTTTCCATCACCGCAGGCGGTCTACTGGACTAGACTCTATGCTTTGGCTTCCAGACTCCCGTGTTGTCCCGAACTCGAGACAGGGAGAGTTCCTGTGGCAGAAGCTGAGGCCGCATTCCATTTTGGCTGGCCGTGCTCACCGGGCAGGATGGTCGGTTTCCTGTCAGCCTTTATCAGTCTAAGGTGGTGGGGAGGATTTGGATTGCCTAAACCAAAACTGTCACCTTCTGTGTCTGCCTCGCCTCTCAGGCCCATCCCTCCTGACAGGAAGGCCCACGGTGATCCACCCCGTCTGATGAGGGCTGGGTTGGCCCAGTTATTCTGACCCTCTGGCCCTACCCATGTCCCAACCTACCTGTCACTTTCCTGTGTCACCTGACTATCACCCTCTCCCTCTCTCTCCAGCCTTGGTTTCTGTGGTGATTGTCCAGGAAGTTTCCCTACCATCCCTGTGAGTTCCTTGCCTTGGCAGAGCCTTTCCTCAGACAGCTTTGGGCACCTAGCCCACTCCTCCATGGCCTTGTTTTTAAGTTCATTCTCCCTGTCTGCCTACCATGCGGCGTCTGCCCTCTGAATGCCAGCCGCTTGTCAGGGCACAGCACTGCTCGGATGGTAAATAACTGACCAGAGTCCTTACTCTGCTAACTTCGGGCTTGGGGAGGGGAGCTGAGGGTCAGCCAGAGTGTTCTGTCCAGGCTCCACGATGCTGAAGCGGGGGATGGAGGTTGCCCATCTGGGCCAGCTGGGGAGGGGCTCAGGCAGAGATGGTGAAGTGGAAAGCGGGTGTGTGGGGTGTAGGTCGCTCGGAGGTGGCGGTGGTGGATCTCGAGCTGGAGCAGGCACACTGGGAAGAGAGTTGTCATTTTGCAGGGGTATCTGATTTTTGCCTTTGGGCATTATTTTCTTACTGCTGGATGGCCATTCCCAGGAATAGCTAGGGCTAAATGATCCCCACGTTCCCAGCTGCAGAACAGCGAGTGCAGCATTCAGCAGGGGCTCAGGAAATGGCTGCAGATGAATGGACAAATGGAGTCAGGACCAGCACTAAGGGCTGATTGCAAGGTCTCCCTTTCCCAGAGGGAGGGGGAGAGTCACGAACCTGTTTCCCTTCACTTTTGACAAGGCAATCAGACATGTGTAGGTCAGGCTGGAGAGGATGGGAGAAGAGCACGAGGAGAACCAGAGAAATTCTCACCACGTCCAGTATTCATTGCCTCCTTACCCCAAAACCTTCTCTGAGGCCCCACTCTGTGCCCAGGAGACCCCAGTCCATATGCCAAGAGGATGCTGCCAGTCCCAGGGGTGCTCAGCTGTGCTGGCTGTTAAACCTGCAATCTTTCTGTGTCGACTAGCCAAGAGCAGTTTTCCCAAAGCCTCCTTATGATGCCACATGTCCAGTCTTAGGACCCCAGCTCACTGGGCCTTCCTCCTGGGTTCTCCCCGGACTGCCCCTCCCCCCGCCACCTATCTCATATGTATGGAAAAAACTGGCATGGTGGTGATCTCCAGGGTCCACTTGAGGAACAGTGGTTGTTCTGTGCATCATACAGCAAGCCTTGATTTGGAGCGTCTGGTATGTGTCTTGTCCCTGATGCCCTTATGGCTCTGATCAGGCAGGCAGGCTGGGGCCGAAGCTGCTTCCTCCGTGTGCCTCGCAGAGTGTAAGCTCGGCTTCACTCACTTCCTATTTTTTTCTCTCTCGTAGGCAGCCATGAGTTCTAGCCACCCTGAACCGGGTGCCCGGGAACCCCAAAGTCCCCGTCCACAGCCCCTGTCCCAGAGTTCTTCTAGCTTGCTGTGTGAAGGGCCGGAGCAGAGGCCAGAGCTGCGCAAGAGTTCCAGCAGCACTGTGTGGCGGGCACAGCCCGGGGAGGCCAGCCCCAGTCCCCGGACTCTGGCGGAGGAGGGGTGCCAGACCGCGCGCACCCAACAAGCACACACCTCGAGTCCTTGGCCACAGGCTGGTGCTGGAGGCCACTGGAGAAGCAGCACTGTTGGCAATGTGTCTGCCGTGGGCGCCGGTGACATGTGTCGCCTACGGGCCCCCAGTGTGGCAGCCGTGCAGAGGAGCCACTCAGACTTGGTTCATAGTACCCAGAGCCGGGGGCGTGGCGGAGCTCAGAAGGCCAGCCTCAGCTGTTCCGCCCTTGGCAGCTCACCGGTCCAGAGGGCTCAGCTGCAGCCTGGAAGCATTGCTGGGCAAGATGGCCAGACCCCTGCTGTCCTGGAAAGTGACCTGGCACCGGAGGATGAGACTTCTAAATCAGCCTGCCCGCTGGGGGACAGTCAGGGGTTGGTGCCAGCTGTAGAACTGGAGGGTACGGCTGGTCTCCTCAGCAGTCCCCAGGGTGGACCCAAAGCTACTGGACAGCCATCTTCCACTTCCTGTCAGGCTCCGCCCCCGGCAGCTCTGCTCTGCACTGTGAGGGAGGCTGCCTCTGGCGGCTGCTGCCGTGCTCTGCCTGCAACAGGCATCCTGGCCTTTCCCAAATTGGTGGCATCAGTGAGTGAGTCTGGGTTGCAGGCTCAGTGTGGGATGAAGTTCCACTGTAAATTCCCCGGGGGGATTTCTGGGCATCCTCACTGCTGTGTCCATCCTTGGGGGCCTGTGGGACTGACCGCAGAGTCTGGCTCCAGGACCAAAGATGTATGGACCATGACCTCAGCCACTGACTTGGCCTTGGGTGTGGCATCAGCTCAGGATGCTGGGGTCCAGGTAGCTCCAGTGGCGGCCTGCAAGGCTGTGGCTACCAGCCCATCCCTGGAAGCGCCTGAGACTCTGAACATTTTCCCAGAGGTAATGGTGGGGCCCCGCCTGGAGGAGGCGTCGTCACCTGTGAGGGACGTGAGATGGGATTCTGAGGGCATGACGTGGGAGGTGTATGGAGCCTCAGTGGACCCTGAGGTGCTCGGCATTGCCATCCAGAAGCACCTGGAGATGCAGTTTGAGCAGCTGCAGCTGGCACCAGTCAGTGAGGACAGCCTGTCTACAGAGGGCCGCCGGGGCCCCCTGCGGGCGGTCATGCAGTCACTGAGGCGCCCCAGCTGCTGTGGCTGCTCTGGAGCAGCTCCAGAATGAGGAGTTGTGACCCCGAAGCTGGCCTTGACTCTGGACTTGGATCTAGGCCAGTGGCAGTCAGAGTGGAGACTCTGTGTCACCAGAAGCCACGCTGTCACTTGAACATCAGCCTTGGGCTTGCAGCTCTGTGCAGCCGGGCTGTCTTTTAAGGGCTTGATTCCTAAGAGCCACTTCTCCGTTCTGGGCTCTGGACTTTGGGGCAGGGATTTTGCATTGCACATCGGCAAAATCCTGATTTCCTTCCTGTAAAAGTACTCAACCTTTTGTTTGATCTGCCCACAGGACTTTGCTGCTACTCCCCCAGGACTCCTGGTGGTTTTGTTTTTAATAGCTTTGCTAGGGAATAATGAATTTTTACATGACACAGGAGGTCCACGTGGCAAGGGTTGCGCTGGTCCCTAGAGAACTGACATCGCTGCTTGCCATCCACCGGGCTCACCTACCTCGTTGAGGTTTTCCCCTCTTTTCAGATGTCGCAGAGGAAGTCTGCCAAAGGTCTAACCGATGAGCTCTGAGGTAGACACTTCAATGCAGTGTGGAAGGCTTAGAGCTGGGACCAGCTGAGCCCCGGTGATGGCCCGAGACAGACACCCAGGCCAGCTCAGTGAGGGTGGGGACAGGAAGGACTCATTGAATGCACATTCTCTGCCAGGTTCCAGGGGGCTGTGACACAGCCACTGCCTGTGGAGTGCAGGGACCAGCGTGCTACAGGAGGGCTGTGCGTGCCACTTGGAGGGCTTTCCCAAAATCCAGCCCCTGCAGGCCCCTGTACCTGGTTCCCTGCCTCAGGAAGTGGTGAACAAGTGGCCACCTGTCCCCAAATGTGTTTCAGTGCTTGAAAGGGCGTCTTCCCTACCCACTCCATTGGCTTTCATCCTAGCTGGTGGCTGGGGGACCTGGCTGGGGTTCTCACCAGGTAAGGAAATGGCTAGAGTTGAGAGGCTCTGAGTGTCAAGGGCTGGAAATGACTTATGTTAGAAATGGCCTAGCAAGGCTGGGCAGTGGGGGTCAGTAGATTTGGGTGGAGAAAGAGCACACAGGGTCTTAGCCGCCTGATTTTATTACCCAAGGGTTTCTCAAGACCCAGGAGGATCGGTGTAGTCTGTTGAAGATCCTAGGCTCCTGGGATAGAGTCCTCGGGTCATGCATGGGAGATAGCTCCAGAGATGGGTAGACTCAGAGCCTCAGATTTGACCATGTTCCCGAAGCTTGAATAACTTGTACAAGGGGAGATGAAGTCACCCCTGGGACCCTAGGATCTGGAAGGTGGCTTCTCTGCCCCATCTGCAAGGTCCTGATGCTCCCTGAAGTAGGAAAATGCTATGACATGGATTATGGTTTGGAGCAGGGATAGTGTGTCAAGGCAAGAGAGGCCGGCTTGCTAAGTGAGAAGCCTCGTAATGGGCCGTCTTGTTGGTTCTATGCCTCTCCCAGGGAGCAGGCAGACTCCCGGAAGTCCTGGGAATGTTTGAATATTTGTGTGAGGCAAGGCAGGCACTTCATGCTCTGGGGTATGGTATATGGTCACTTGTCTCCTCCATACACAGGTACCAGCAGCCCAGCGTCGGAGCCTGAATGACAGTGAGCAGATAGCTTTGGGGACACGGGGCAATGCCACCTTCACACAGGGGGCAATGCCACCTTCACACAGGGCCGCAGTTGAGAAAGCTGTTGACACAGAGGGCCTGGGCAGGTGGTTGGAGTGGGGACAGCTTGGAGATATCTGTTCTGCTGGAATATGTTGAGTCACTGATGGGCAGGTAGGTACCACCGGGTGTTCATCAGCTGGGAGGCTGACGTGGGCGCCTGTGGCGAGCATTATGGGGTCTGCAGAAGGTGGGGGAGAGTCCCACCCATGTGTACAGTCTGTTCAGTGAGAAGAAGTCGCGGAGGCTGAGGTCCTTCCGCTTGGGGCAGGAGGACAGTGAGATCCCTTTCTGGGACAAGCAAGGGTGGGTGGGCAGGCTCTGGAGGTCCACACAAAGGGAAACATAGCACAGGGTTTGCCCAGTGGCAGGGAAACCCGCTGCGCAAAGACCTCCGCCTCTGCCGCATGCAGATCTCAAGCTCATTGTTGGGCAGATTGTGCCAACCTGCGATTCCCGTGCTGCACCGGATGAAAGCCAGGGTGGGCCCGCCACCCACTTAGCTTCGTCCTGACTGATAAACGTCTGTGTGATGGTACTAGAACCCCGCCCAGCCCGTGTGGTGGTTGGAAACCCTGGGATACCCACTGGCTCAGCTGTACAGCCCCTGTTCTCTGGCCTGCCTGTGGCATCTGCTGACTTAATTTCTGAACTGAATCCATTCCTACTCTTATTGGGCCCCTCCTAGGCAAGGCCTGATTTGGATACTGGACCAGGGTCTGTTGAGCATGGTCACTGACTTTATAGACTTCTTCTCTTGGACTCCTGATTTCAGGCTTGGGCATTTGGGACACCTTTTGGAGGTGGTGGATCTCACTCTCTATGTTTGTCAAATTTTGAATTAAAAATAACTACAAGTTGAGAGATCAGAGCTTTGCTAGGCCTTGGCAGAACTGGGGCATTGGACATGGTTAGTGTTGCTTCTTTTGTTCTGGTAAATTCTGTCCTCTGGGGCATAAACCCCAGAACTCAAGGGCTCTGTGTCCTGGTAGCCTTCGTCCCTCAGTCTTCAGGGGCCACCCCATTCTGTCTGTTCTCCTTCTGAGTCACCTGGGGCTTGGGCAGTCAAAGTCTGGCTCGCCACCCCAGGACTGCCTTCTTGTGGGTAACATGCAAGGAATACAAGGCCTTGTCGCCCTCTTAGGGAACCACTGCAAATCTAGGCTCCTTGCCTGCTGGTGGTCACAACGCTGGGGGGGTTGGGAAGTGGAGAAATGTCCTCCTCCACTGTGATGCCACCGTCTCTGTCCCCTGGATGCTAGATTATTATTTGACGGTGGCTGAAGGGGACCCACCCCATCCATGTAGGTCCTAATAATTTGGGATTGGGGTGGGCCACCACAGCCTAAGGGGGTCTAGAGCTGGAAACCGAACCCCGGATTCACATTGATGTTCACAAAATCTTGGTCAAGATACTTAGTAGTCCCGAAGAGCTGAAACTTCTTTAGCTCTAAAATGGAGTGGTAGCAGCACTTCGTTTTTGGCTGGTGGGAATGCAGTTGCATAAACCATGTAAAGCACCTGGCTCCAGTTAGTGCTAGGCTCACATGCTGGTGTTGCCCAGTGTTTCATGGCTGCAGGATGGGGCTGCTGGCCCTTTGCTGCCGGCTTGGCCGCTCCGGTAGTCCATGTCCCATTCCCTTAACGTCCCTCCTTGAGAGCCTGGGTTCTCCATCCCAGCTTCTTCACCCGCAGTGGTGTGCCCTGTCTAGGTCTCGTGCCTTCTGGCCGGGAGCCTCTGAAGTCAGTTCCTAGAGCCACATGGAGGAGGACATCCCGCCCCCCCTAGTCTGTTGAGGTGAGAAGAATAGGTAGGGAAGGGCAGAAGCCAAGCAAGGATGTGACCCGAGGCCAGTCTAGACCCGCAGCAGAGCCCTGGGTAGCCCTAGGTAGACCCCTGGGTGTGCAGGCTTGGAAGCCTTAAGAGCCTTGAGGTGGCCCTCCGTATGGAGCCCTAAGGGAGTGCTGTGCCCCCTCAGGCAGGCAGGTGCGTTTGTGCCTGCATCTGCCCATCACCCGTCACAGACTGCCTGTGGTCCACACGCTGCCCCGGCCGTTCCTCTGGATGCTGTGTAGAAGCAACGCTGCTGGCTTGCCAGACGACCTTGGTTAGAGGTGAAGCTTGGCAGCCGTCCATGTTGAGTTCTTTCTCACTCGTCATTTTGACCTGGCCCAGTTTTGTCATCTGAAGCTACGACTCGTCCTTTATAAGTTCTCATCCAACTTGTCAGGCAGGGCAGGGCCACAGTGGAGTCTGGAGCGCAGGCGGCCCTGGATTTACTCTCCCATCGCTATGGTCCTTGGGACCCCTCCCCTACCACCCACACAAACATCATTCAGGGAGTCATTCAGGACAAGTCTGTTAAAATCAGCATCACCTATATCCAGCCCCAGGACCCTCTCCTTTAACAAAGGAGGAGGCCGTGTGGCCTAACAGGGAGACTCACTCTGCAGGACTGCCTTGTTCTCCCACTTTACCTGCGCCTTCCTGTCTGACACGCTGTTTGAGATCAGCAAGCTAAGACTTAGACTCTATCTTTTCGTCTTTTGAGGAACAGAGGCCAGCTCCGCCCTCATCCTTGGCATACCACCTGCTTAGCCTCAGTCCCCCGAAAGCTGCTCCTAGCACATGGGGCTTAACCTGCCAGTTTCCTGGAAGGTGGCTCTGAGGGTCGGCAAGGAGCCTCTTTCATATATGTTCTTTAGAAACCTTGTTGAGCCCTAAACTTTGCTCTCCTGTTTTGGAGTCCTTAGAAGGACCTGGGAACCATGTTGACCTGTAGGATTCCGAGAGCACAGGATTTGTGCTGGGGCTGTGGTCACAGAAATGTAAGAGCGCCTGGAAACGGTGAAACTGTTAAAAAAAAAAAAAAAAAACCCAAGCCAAATCACTGTGGCACAGGCAGATCAGAAATGCTGTGTCTGAGTCTTCCTACAAGAGCTGGGCTCATGGTCACCTTTGCTATCCTTGAGCAGTGACTCTGCAGGATTCCTGCTGAGTCATGGGCCATCCTCCCCCTCCTGGCCAGCCAGAGACAGTGCAGCAAGGAGGCAGGTCTGGGTCCTGAAGCAGGAGCTCTCCTGTGGCCTCACTTGAGCAGGAGGAAACGTGAATTGGGGGATTGAAGCTTAGGCTATGAAGTGTGTTCTGTTTTAAAGGTACCCACAGGCTCGCCTGGTCTGTCTCGGCCTGGTACTTTTCATTTCATAGCGTCTTTATGGAAAAAAACTTAGGGTGCCTTTTTTTGCATTATGTCTATGCATTCCTTCTCTGATGTCTCTTCCCCTTTTCTGTCTCAATTCCTCTTGTCCCTAGAACGCTTTGTCTCTCCACTGTCCGGATATCCTTGTCCCTTGAGCCTCCTTAGGTTTATGTCGGGTCTGTCTTCCTTGGCTCTATCACCCCAAATCTCACTCTTTCTCTTCCTGTGGTTTGCAGCATTTCCCTGAGGCCACGGCTTGGTCTGGGTCTCAGTGTCTTTGATTTTCGGGGGCCTAAGCCCTTACCCTTCACCCATTTTGTTTCTTTTTGGAGACACACTAAAGGACTGAGTTTACAAAAGTGGTTTCTGAGCAGATACTAGGCAGGGAGGCCTCTCTGGGGTCACTCTGCTGGGTTTTCTGTTTTCCTTGCTTTGGGCTGTTGCAGTGGTCCGGCTGGGTGAAGGCAAGGACTCAAGTCCTTCTAGAAGGGCATCCCCTGAGTGCTTGCTGGCACAAGGCTGGTCCTCTCGTCTTTCACACGTTCAGAATCTTGCCAAGCTTGTGATTAGGTCTGGGTGTGGTTTGAGCCTCCTGGGGGGGTACAGTGAGTCTAGGGACTCTGTCCTACCCCTGTGTCTTTCCTGTGTGGAACTGGGCTCATATTCAGGAAGTCGAGTCTAGAGACTATGTGAGAAGATATCTGACTTGGACGCCATCTGCGTACATCTCCCTTCTGGGCCTGAGTAGGGCAGAAGGAAGGAGCCTCTGTCGGGCGGAACTTTCCATGTGCTTCTGCAGAGCTAAACAGGGATGCTGGAACCCAGGGGCAAAGAGAGAATGGTTTTCACACCTCACCTTCTGTAGCTGTCTGTCCCCCTGCCTCCTCTTTCCTTCGCCCACTTTTAAACAAAGGTCTGAGAGAACAATGGCCATGGGTGACACTTTGTATGCAAGCTTCCTGGATGCATTCTTTTGGAAGAGGTTCTGGTTTTCTTATCTTAGAGTTGGGAGTTCCGAAGGAGGGGAAAGGTTTCTTGTGTGGTTTTCATTCCTAAACTCCCTGTGCATGGCTCGTTCTTCTTGGGGTGGACACTCCTTTGGGCAGGGCAGGTGCTAGGAATGTGGTCACAGGCAGTTGGCCTGGGAATGACGTGGAGCATTGCTGAAGCCATGCTTTATTGGAGACATTGTACCAGTTACTTTCTCATTAGTGTGGGTTTGAAGACACGACATTAAGACGTTATTTGTCTTAATTACAGAGTCTTTGGCCTGCCTGTACAGTTGGTTCCTAGCCATTGCCTGGTGTCCTGGGCCAGGCTCTTGAGTTCTCTCTCGCTCTGGAATGGGCTGAGAGCTCTCTTTCCAACGCTTCCGGGCAGTGGCTTCACGCTGTCCCCAGGATGACCAGATGCCCCCTAGTGGCAAGGTGGGGCACAGCATGGAGCCACCTAGTGGGTGTGGAGTGGGAGCCCGGAAGTGGCAACAGTGTCCAGTTCAGCGAGGAAGCCCTGGGGGTGGTGGAACGGGCATCGCATCGGGGCAGGCAGCCTCTTCACTGCCAAGTCTACGTCTGACACTGAAGCCCTCCTCACTCCCTTCCTGTGTGTGTGTGCGCGTGCGTGTGTGTGTGTGCGCGCGCGCGGTGGGCCGGGGCGGGACACACACACAGCATCTCTACCTGGAGCCCCAGGCTGTCTGTGGATCAGCGTGTGATGGGAGCAGAGGCTAGAGAGAGAGCCGTTTCTTACAGTAGGTGGGTGAGAGGGAAGTGGGGCTGACGGGCGTGCGTGGGAATGAGAAGTGGGACCCCAGCGGGTACCCTGGCCTCTCGTCCGGCAAGCACCCCTCCCTCTCCGTGTTCACATGGCGCCTCTGGGGTGCTGCTGTCTCAGGCTCTCTTGGCTCTGAGTAGCCGAATTGTGAAATGAACGTTCCCCGAATGGCTAGAACGCTTCCTTCCCACTTAAGAATTCAGGAGGTCTCTGGTTCTAGGCTTGGTCCTGTGGCTCAACACAGATATCAAGTTCCTTCTAGCTATCTGCTCTGCCGTCTTTAGGGTCTTAGGGAGGGCTGACCTCATGGTCACATGATAGCTGCTGCACCTCCAGGCATCACACTCTCATCCAAATCTGCCACAAGAAGATATTAGCACACATAATAAAAGATTGAAAATGGGGTTTCTTAGTCTGGCTCATAAAATAATTAAAAAATGATCTCTGGAGGAAATTCGAGGGCAGTTTTCCTGGAATTTGTGACAGGGGCGGGGGTGGCAGGCAAGCTAGGAGAAGGAGAAGTCCCAGAGCGTCTGGGAGCTCATACCTGGGCCTTGGGCACTATCTGGAAGGAAAGGAGGAAGAGGAAGGAAAAGGAGAAGTTATGTTTATACGAGTAACTCAGGAAAGCAAGTTCTGCAGTGATGTTCTGCAAGCATCTGCAGCGAGGGCGGGGCTTCTGGGAGGGGCGAGGACATCATTTCAAATTGTGGGAGGGAAGTTGGGGGCGACAGGCCAGCTGCTGTACCTCTTAGAAGGAGGAGACAATGGTATGTAGTGTTTGTCTCTTGTCTTCTGACCTGGTAACCAGTGGTCTCTTTGTGACATCTGTGGTTTTGAATGTCATCTAGTGGCACTCATGTGGCATGCAGCCTTTTCAGACCGGCTTCTCTCACCTAGTGAGAGCCAACCCTCCTCTGCGTCTTCATGACTTGTGTAGGAAGCCATGTGTAAGCTTTCATGGCTTGTGGGGAAGAATGCAATGATGTTTCCAGGCCACACTACCTTGTGGCAGCTACTGGAACCCTCCTGAGAACTTGTCCTTAGCTAAGGGACCTCCTAGTGTCAGTGAGTTTCCCCCAAAGGGGGGACTGGTTGGCCACATGTCCTGCTCCCCTCCCCCTCCCTCTTGCCTGCACATCAGACTTGTGCTGTGTGAAACCTCCCCATCCTCAGAAGCAAATGCTCATGATTGCCTGTGGGCTCCGATTCCTCCCTTCAGAGACCCTGCCGTGCTGTCTGTCTCTTGTGCTGGCCTGAGCTGTCCTTGGAACCTCCACCATGGCTGTTGCCTCTCTGTCTGTCTGTCCATGACATTAATAACTTTTATCATGAACTCTGTACTCCCCGGTAATCTGTCTCAGTGTCCTAGAATCACCCTCTGAAACCTTCCAGTTTGGTCACTTCTTTTTAGTGCTGAGTATTATTTTATTGTATGGATGTACCAGAGTCTGTCTGTCCTGCTGAAGGACATGCTGGTTTGCTGTATGTTTGGGTTTTATCAATAAGGCTTCTATAAACATCACCATACGGATGCAGCAGAAGTCCAGTTCAGTTGGGCAAATTCTTAGGATCACGATGCTGGATTGAGTGGAAAGACTAGGCTCCAGCGACTCCCAGTTCAATGCCGCCTCTCACAGCAGCTGCCCAAACTTGTATTCCCACTAGCAAAGTGTGAGAATCTTTTTCATCTTTAGCTATTACACAAGCTAAATCGAGTATCACTGTGTACTTTTGTGGGTACTTGTGAGACTATCTGTAGAGTAACTTTTTTTTTATATAAAATGACACATCAACAGATTACTTTTCAAAAAGGTTTTTATTCGCAATGCCTGAAAAATGCTCATTTTGACACCCACATTTGGCTGTGGGCTACCAAACTTTAGAATTTTGGCAACTTGACAAGTGATTAAAAAAGGTTATTTCCTTAAAGGCTTTCACCTGTGAACAAGTGAGGTAGTGTTCTGACTGAATGCCTGGGTGGGATTCTTTCTCTGGTGGCATTCAAGATGTGCAGTGTTGGGTAAGTTACTGAACGTCTCTGGACTTCAGTCCCTCCACCTACAAGTAAAGATAGTCCTTGCCTTGTTAATTGGACTTGAAGGCTCAACGGTATCCATCATGTAAAATACTTAACAACGTCCCTGTCTCTAAGTAAGTGGTAAATTAATGAATATTATTATGTAATATGTTTGTGACAATTTGAGTCTCTTGGCTTATGATCTGACAGTTCATATTGATTCCTCATTTTCTCTGGATTCTTCTTTTGCATATTAATTGACTGGAGCTCTTTGTGTTTTAATAAATTTCATGTATGTATCATTTGTATTTTTTTATTGAAGTGTGTGGTTTGTCTCTGGTGGTGAACTAGCTTGACATTCTTCTCTGGGACACAGCATTTCTAAGCTCGTGTAGGCCCACATTTCCCATCTACAGTTTCCTTCTGGGGACAGTCACACCAGCCAAGACAATGTGTTTTTCAGTAAGGGAGGGGACTGCCTGAGGCAGGGCAAGCAACCTGCCTAAGGACACCAGGAAGTTGTGTCTAGTTCAAACCAAACCTTGGTTTCTTAGGTTTGCCCTTCGCTATTGGGGGGGCGGGTTAGGGAAGAGTAGGTTCGAGTCACCAAGATAGGCAGCTTCAATGTGTCCCCCTCCCAGAACCCAGAAGCTTAGGTGCCTTGCTCTGGTAAGTTTGGACTATCCAAATGGAGGATCTGAGCTTACTGAGAGAGGCTTCCTGCTTGGTTTGCGGTTGAAGAACAGGTGTGTGTGTGTGTGTGTGTGTGTGTGTGTGTGTGTGTGTTTGTGTTCATGTAGCATTTTGAGATAGGCATAGCCCATCTGACTTCAAACTGAAGCTCTCCCTGACTTCCGAGTGCTGGAACTGTACGTGTGAACCATCAGGCCTGGTTCCATGTGTTTGATCTTAATCAAGTCCCCCACCAGCATTGGAATGTAGAAGAAGACTGAGCTGGCCCTGAACCCCAGGGTGAAAACAATAGTCAGGTCTCAGTTGTTCAGCTTTCTGTCTCACAAGCTTTTGAGACTCAGTGCTCCTCAGCCTGTGATGGGCTGTGTCCTGGCCAACTAACCATGGTCAAACCTGACCTGTATGAAAAGTGCCTTTGCCATCTGGCTTAGCGATAGATAGCTCCACATAGAGTCTCCTGCCCTTTTCTGGGCTCTGCAGTACTCTCTACAGCTCCCAAGGGAGGAAGGCAAGGAAAAAGTCTGCGGGTACCCGAGCCTGACTGGCAGTTTTCCTTCTGAGTGCCTCAGGGTCCTCGACAGTGATTGCCAGCCTCGTGGACTGAGTCTTGGTTATCGGCCAAGTCCCATTTGTTTGCTTGTTAGTTAATCTGTTTATTTGTTTACAGACGGGGTCTTCCTCTGAAGTCCTTTCCTGCTTTCTACAGCCACAGCCCTATGGGGTCTAGGTCCCACCTTAACAGCCCCCTTCAGTCTCCGGACGAGCTCTGTCATTCCCTCTGTGCAGTATGGAGACAAAGGACAGCGGACCAGGGGTGTGTCTGAGTAACAGGTAGAGCTGCCACTGGTCCCAAGCCTGGCCTACCACCACCCGCTCACTTGTTACTGTTTGTAGTAAATTGGTAAGTTGCACAAAATCATGGCTGGGCAGAGCCTCCTCTCACGGGTCACCTATATAGCCTCCAGTCAGGCTGAGCCACCAGGGCTGCCCAGGGCTGTCACACCATAGATGCTTCTCCTGATTGAAGGGACCACTGCTGTACCCTGTGACTCTGCTGGGCTAGCATCCTAAGATCATTCCTTCAATCACTCGTTCAGTAAACACTGCCCGAGGCCTGCCACGAGCTATGCACTCTGCCAGTACACGGGGAAACATGTCCAAAGACCAAGTTGTGGCCTTCTGTGTAGTCTGGGAGCTGCTGGTAGGGGGCAGGGGGGGTGCTGCCAAGCTCTCAGCCCGGGTGCCGGTGGCACCTGCCATCACCTGTAAGGTGGCTGTTGCTGTGGTTTGGGCTGAGGGATTGTGGCGCCTGGCTTTCACAAGCAAGTCCAAGGTATCAGGAAAAGAGAGACAGATGTCCACTTGTTTGTACTAAGAGAATGCATGTGCTGCCTTTATTGCCAGGAGAATGTGTGTGTGTGTTCATTGCAAGTGTTAAGAGGTCTCTCTCTTGTAGGAGGGAGGAGCTTTATATACAGGTTTACAGCACAGTGGAAAAACCCCAGGTAGAAGAGAGCATGTTTTCCTCCTGTTGACTGTTGATATCAGAGGGTCAAGGCCAGAGCAGTAAGCCAGGACTAGAAAACAGGAAGCACTTGGACTGGAAAACAAGTTGCACTTGTAAGCTGACCAGCAACTCACAAAGACCCCGTGGGGCTGGGGCCCAACATCTCCCCCCTTCTTTATATATAAATTAGCACTTATCTCAGGTGACAAGGACGTTAATGCCAATCTTAGTATCAATAACCAACCTTGTATAAATGAGAACAAACATAAACAATAGTTGGGAATGTGGGCATTGTTCTTTCCAAATTACTTCCTGCTGTTAAGGGGCGCTGAAATACCATGGGGATCATGACAAAAAAAAAAAACCAAAAAACAAACAAAAACAAAAACAAAAAACCCAAAACCCAGAAACCTGTTGACGTTCTTGTTTTTGTGGTCTGTAAGGCTGCATCATCTCAGCTGTTTTAGATGTTGGATCACCTGGGCCACTGCTTCAGGTGGTCTTGCTCATCAAACCATACTAGTCTGGAAGGAACCCACAGCTTTTTATGTTTTGTGGAAACAAAAGCAGAAATTCTTTTCCCAAGTAACCTGTCCTTATATTTAAATTTAGAAGTCAAAGCATTTTCAAAATATGTAAGTTGGATTAATTTAGCAACATTAATAATCAAATGTCTTTTAGCAGTTTTTGTTCCTTTCTTAGCAATTAAAAAAATTAAAGACAGCACAACTGTACACAATATCCAGACTCTCTGTGTATTTTTCATTCCATATACTTTTATCTTTTACTTAATACCAGTACCTCGTTTATTAACTGTTACCAATTTTCAGTTTACCCACTTTTAATCCATCCTCCAACTGAGGATGATCTCTCAGGTTCCCCTTTCTTTCCTGACCTTGGTATCAGGTGAAGGCCTGGAGATTTAATCCAATCCACCCTCCAACCTAGGGTGATCTCTCAGGTTCCCCTTTCTTTCCTGACCTTGGTGTCAGGCGAAGGCCTGGAGATTTAATCCAATACATCCTCTCCTTAGAAGGTGATCTTTCAAGCAAAGCCCGGAGATTTGACCATTCAATTTTACTGTTAGAAGTTGAGGTACCTGTTTTTAATTCTTTTCTTTCTCGAGTCTCTCCTCTCCTGAGTCTTCTTTCTGGCCGATCTTTCCCAGTCTTTCCAAGTCTCTCTGGATCTCGGTGGGACCTCCAATTGTGGCGCCTGGCTTTCACAAGCAAGTCCAAGGTATCAGGAAAAGAGAGACAGATGTCCACTTGTTTGTACTAAGAGAATGCATGTGCTGCCTTTATTACCAGGAGAATGTGTGTGTGTGTGTGTTCATTGCAAGTGTTAAGAGGTCTCTCCCTTGTAGGAGGGAGGAGCTTTATATACAGGTTTACAGCACAGTGGAAAAACCCCAGGTAGAAGAGAGCGTGTTTTCCTCCTGCTGAATGTTGATGTCAGAGGGTCAAGGCCGGGGCAGTAAGCCAGGACTAGAAAACAGGAAGCACTTGGACTGGAAAACAAGTTGTACTTGTAAGCTGACGAGCAACTCACAGAGACCCCGTGGGGCTGGGGCCCAACAAGGGATCAGAGACATCACCCAGGTAAGGGACACTTAGGGAGGAAGGGAGTTGCTTCCAGGAGGTTTTGAAGTTCGTTCTGATAGAATGAACCAGAGGAGGTGTGGAAGAGCCCTAGGGGACATGAACGGCTCGTCAAAATTGCTGGGGTTGCCTGATGGGTGAAGGCAACCCCGGGCAGGTTCCAAAATGGAAAGAATGCTCCTAATGGACCAGGGTTCTTCTGCCTGGCTGAACTGTTGACCCTGAAGTCTTTGCTCTCCCAGTGACAAAGGGGCCTGAGGGTTGTGTCTTCTGTACTCCAGGGCTACCTAGGATCCATACTTCTAGCTTGACGTCTTCCGATCGTCACCTCCAGGCCTGGCTGGAAGCCTGGAAAGTCCACAGCTGGGCAGGGGCCTCATGAGGAGGGAGGAGGGAGTGGAGTCTCCCTATACCTTGCCTCTTGGGGGAGCCCAGAGCCAGGTGTCCTATAATTGCATGCCTTCCAGACTTGCTGTTGAAGCTTGGTAGAAGCCTGAAGGAGGAGCTCCCCTGAGCACCCACTGGTAGGATCCTCTCCACCTGAGGAGTGAGCCCTCTCTGGTGCTGACAGAACCAGGCATGAGCAGGCCCGGGCCCACAATGGAGTGAACAATGACATCAAGCGAAAAGTGCAACCCAGGTTGAGACAGAGCCCTTGCCATGGTGCCTGAGCTGCTGGTTCAGCATGCTTCTGGTGTACATCTTTGTTGTCTTTTAAAAGCTGGATTTATTTTTAAGTGCTACAAGAAAATAGAAAAACTGTACATACTCCGTGTGATGTCTTGATGTATGCATACACTTACGTTGTTTAAATCAGGTTAAACACATCTAACTCCCTAAACATCATTTAAGCCAAAACCTCACAAACCTCTTTCTGTTTGAATGTAATGTAGAGCATGTTCTTTCTTAAAGGAATAGGTTAGAACTTCTCTGTTCCTTCCTTACTCCAGTGTGAACTTCTCAGGGATGGGCCCTGCTCTGAGGTCTGATCCCAGCTCTCGTTCCTGAGGATGGCCTTCAAGGGAACACAGAGTTACAAAAGGTCAGAGTGGGGCCTGGGGTGACGGAGCAGGCCAAAGTCTCGGCGAGCAGGAAGATGAATACAGGAAAGTCGAGCTGAGAAAGATATGCAGGTCCCCACTGATATCGCACGAGCCTCTTACCTGGAGGAAAACAGCAGGATGAAAGTCAAAATTAAAGACCTCGGAGCCTGCAGGGATGGGCGTGTACCCTGGGACCTCATGCCTCAGCCCTGGAGTGTATCCTGGGTCTCTGTCTCCTCAGCCCTGCAGTGTATCCTGGGTCTCTGTCTCCTCAGCCTTGGAGTGTATCCTGGGTCTCATGCTCCCTCAGCACTGGAGTATACCCTGGGTCTCATGCCTCAGCCCTGGAGTGTATCCTGGGTCTCTGTTTCCTCAGCCCTGGAGTGTATCCTAGGTCTCATGCCCCCTCCGCACTGGAGTATACCCTGGGTCTCATGCCTCAGCCCTGGAGTGTACCCTGGGAC